AGACAAGACACCAACTCAATACTGACTATCTCGCACTCTAGACGAGGCACTCTCACTCGCCCTCTCGACGAGGCACACTCTAACTGACTGTGGACCAGCAGGGTTTATATAGCTTTCGGCTTGTGTTCGAGAATATTCTGGGAACTGGTAAAAATTCATTCCAGAAGGTTCTCCATCCATCCATGGCACATCGCCAATTTTGTTGCCAAATGGGTGATTTCTCGCCAAATGTGGCTACCCTACCTTCCCTTGCCATTTTATGGCAACCCTAAAACGGCTTTGCGAGGAAGCTATCTCACCGCTCCTGTACATCTTGTAACAGTATGTTCATTAAAATATACATTTTAGTGTTAAGCCTTTTTGTTCGATATTTTATGCATGGCATGACTTTTACCTCTTAATTTTTAGAGTTAAACTTAACAAAAGTCAAAGTAAATACGGCAATAAGTATGGTAGATCTCAGTTTGAGGAATGAAAATTGGCTGAGATTTATGAATCCGTATAAAAGAAAAGGCTATGATAGATCTTTACATCAATATTAGCAGAATTGACATAAAATAATAATGAGTGTAGAACAGTTTTTGTAAGAAATTTGAACTGTGATGAGAGGTTCTGAATAGTCTAAAAGTTTGGTAATTTTATGTGTAAGCATCAGAGTACTACCTCACTTTTTAACAATACTATATCAAAACAAGAAACAGAAAAAGTTACACTATTGTTTAACCCAATGAATGGTGTACTTTCAGTAGTGTAACTGTCAGACCATAGTTAATCCACACAATTTATGATCTTAGATATTGCAGCTATGGTACTATTCTGTTAGAGTGGCATCGGTTAAAAATGTGCCTCTTTTTTCTGGCCACTAATTGTTGACAAGTATAAAATTATTAAATAATAATAGAGTTCAAAAGACTAAAAAAATTACTTCTGTAAAAAGCAATTTTTTAAAAATTTCATAATTCTTAAAGAACTTAAATTTTTCTTTTTAATTTTTTAATCTAGAGTATATTCTACACATAAATATATAGATAAAATTACAAATATCATTCAATATTATAGAAAAAAATTTCTGTTTTTGAATATAACCGACACCACATAAATTCTATCAAATATGATTCCAAATGGTAGCGAGCAGTGCTCTGCTGAAATTAATTTCTCCATTTAGCACCACCCCACAGTTGCTCCACAGTTTGGATACAGCATCCAGTTTCAGAGTTTGCAAAATTATAACTGTGATTCACAGTGAAAAGTTCAGCATTTCTTAATTTCTCTTTCTTATATCCTTTCTAGGAGTGTTAAAATATTATGCTGCCATCCGTGATGTTTTCCTGGATGGCAGTCATCAATGTTGTATCACAACAATCGGGAACGGCGATCAAAAAACATTCTTTGTTTTCATGACATAAGCCTCTGAATACCCACTGTTCCAGAAGAAACATATCCAATGTTTTTTTTCCCTTTTGTGAAAAGACTTTCCTCTATTTCTGCGATTTTGGTCGCTCCACCAAATTTATTTCTTTTATGAAACTTCAAACTATTTGCACATACCTCTCTCAAGTAGTTATTCCAATCTACTGTCATATTGTTGCTGATTTCTAGCTAAAGTTAGCAAAATTCAGTTGATGTCAAGTCCTGACACCACAGATAGATAAAATTAACAGCATTGGGGAAAGAAAGCTGGAAACCACGTTTTTCATAGCAAGAACGTATGTAGCAACACAATATAAGAGATGATTTTGAGAACAAAGTCATTTGCTATGAATTATTCCTTTGTCATGAAGGAATCTTTATGACAACCTCTTTGTCATTAGGTAATTTCCAAATTGTGTAGTTCTTTGTACTAAAAAAAGGGGGGGTGAAATACAGCCCCCCCAAAAAAAATTTGAGGTATGTTGATATTTCAAACAAAAACTGGAAATCTTGAGCCGCAATATGTATGTGGCATGATGTTGTAGCATAGTTTTCTTCTAATTTTTTCTTCATTTTTAACTGATGCCGCTCTAACAGAATAATACTACAACTATAAATGTTGGGACCATTATGTGTATAAATCAAGGAAAGTTTTGTAATATGAAAAAATAAGAAATTAAAAAGTGTATTCGAAACGCTACTCAGTTGTGCAGTGACCGAAAACATTCACTGAACACTGGTAGTCACTGGGAAAGTCACTGAGCACTGGTAGTTCGATCCGAGTTAAAATCCTAATCAGTTGCTACTGAGTTGTGCAGTGGCCAAGAACATTCACTGAACACTAGTAGTGGCAAAGTCACTGAACATTGGTAGTACAATCTGGGTCGAAATCCCAGACAGGCTGGCTGCATGCATGTTATTTTGGTTTTCCTCATGTATAGCAGGAATACAAGCCAGTTTCCATTAGAAAGTCCTCCACGAAGACATGCCTTCCCTTAGGCAGATAGTTTTCAAGTGCTGTGCCATAATCAAACCAAAAACGCTACTTACAAAAAGGCTTTTTATGCATGGAATTGGTGTGTAGAAAAATACACAAAGGATGATAGCAGTATAAATTCTGAATGTTGAATATAGTACATATCTATTATAATTTATGTTTATGAAATTAATATCATCTGCTTGAATATTATATAAGTAAAAAATTTTGGTATTTATGTGCAGTGGACCACACCAAGATAAGAAATTTATGTGTGCGGTTCTCCACTAGCCACAATGTTCAAGTTGTTATGAGGTGTGACACTACAGGCTCTGACATTTCATAAGCAATAATTTCAGTTACTGCTCCATTTGACATTACAAAATTCCTGTGGCCGGTGTCAAGGGCCAGTTTTAACAATCTGCTTTGTGTCTGTCACCAAAGCCTCTCGATTTCAGGGAGGCTGACAAACAAATGATCCTATTGTTATTCTGATGTTTCAACTATAATGAATCAGAGGACATGAAATACGGCGAAAAAATTAAGAGGGCATGTCTAGTTCGGTGTGCAAACTACTTTACACAAGGCAAGAACTCAGAATGCTCTTAAACTCTCAACTAGAGAGACTCTTGCAGTTAGCAAGATCTTCACATAATGAGGACAATAATCTACAATTATAGGTCTTATACCTTGAGTGTTGTTATGTATTGTTAATGGAACTTCTCATAGATTTTAAAATATATTTTAGATCTATATGCAGTAAGTAATATACATCCTTAATAAATGCAACTACATGCATTACCATATGGAATTGTTTCATCAGTTCAGGATACCACCATCACCCAATACATATTATCCCATCGACTGTAAAAATTAGCTGCCATTGAGCCATGAAAGTTGGTGGTGATGATGCCAGAGTTGTATTAATTGTTCTTGAGGAACTCTAAGCCACTCTTCTATATGAAGTTCTTAAAATTGCATTTGTCAGTTTCTTCACAATCCAACAAATGGCCATTGTAGAAATATTTGCCCGACTTCGTTTTTGCGCTTCGTGAAGATGGTTTCGTCAGTTTCTACTATTTTATTATACCCTTCAATTTTACAGAAAACTCAGTTTGAAATGCTGAGTACAAACTTTTTGCTAGTGGTTATTCCACTCTCTTTCCGTTCGGAGCCCATATGCATCTGTTCTATTACTTGTTCAACAGGTGTTAATTCTCTCAACCACCTGTAATTGATCCAAAGTCATAAATGTGAACCTACAAAACTCAAACTCTTTCTTCCCCTTTCAGGAATACAGCAATAACAATTAATTTATATTCAGGGTTGCATCAAACAAAATTCAGATGTTATGAATTTGTTGTGATGTCACACTTATCCATAATTAAGCTTTAATTGTTGTGCTTGGTTAAAGTTTCATAGTCTAAGGAATAATACATACCGAAATTTCAGCAATTGTGTAGCAATTTTGTTTCTATTTCTTTTCTGCAAGTTAAGTTTAGTGATCTAACATATTTTTCTGCAACATAAAATAATAATTTTTAAGAAATGTAAAAAAATTTTAACTGAAAAAAAAAAAAATTTCAAAAGATTTATTGATGACAAAATGACATCATTGGTTGTTTTAAGGTATTAAGAAAGTTAATGGTAATATTTATAGTGTAGTTGTCAGTCACTTTTTATTATTATGTCTTCAACTGAAAATGACATTCATTATACATCAGAATTGCCAGTGCAGTTAAGTACACTACAGAGTCTTTAATCCGGACATCCGTAATCCAGAATGATCTATAATCCGGACCTCAAAGCTACAAACTTTCTGCACATGCGTTGCATTTACGTATGCGCATATGCGTTTGTTTACGCATGCACATAATACGTTTATGCATGCGTGTTTAATGTATAATGGACGGTATAAGCTGGACTAAAATTATCTAATTCTCTATTTCAGTTAATGTTGCAGATTGCGTTGTTCCTTAATCTTCTAATTGGATCCGGCTTTTTAATTTTTGCAGACTGTTAAAGCAATTTTATAAAAAGTAAGCTTGAATTTTCGATTATGTCAAAAAGAGTTTCTGATTCTTGAGCTGCCAAAGGATCTACAAAGCAAAAGCATGTTTCGATGTCCATCAAACAAAAAGTGGAATTGCTGCAAAAAGTGGATAAAGGCATGAAGAAAGTGCAGCACAGCAATTACAGGACTTGAACAGTGGAACTTTGTAACTGAACAATAAATTATGTCTGTTTATGGAATTAAAGAGGAAGTATTAGCACAGAAAACGAAGCAGCTTAACTTACATTGAAAGAAATGTTTAATAAAGTAAACAAATAAACATTAAGCTCCTTTTTTTAAAAAAAAAAAAAATTTGATACCCTTTAGATCATAATTGCTCTTTATTTCATAATTATGGTTTCATATTTTTAATTTTATAATTTCTGCATGCCATCTTACCAGATTTAAATTGATGATCTATAATCCGGAAAAATCCCTAATCCGGAATCGCTGAAGTCCCGACGAGTCCGGATTAAAGACTTTGTACTATAACATGAAAATTAAACTTTAGGGTGTAAAATCTGTACTTTTGAATTAATCTGAGTTGTATTTCTTTTTTAGCATGTGCAGAGGCTTTTATTAATGAGACATCAACAGATGCTTGCAGTTATGGTTGTCATCAAAATGCTACCTCAAAACCTACGGTAAATTTACTGTCATTTTCTTACTTAATTAATTTTTAATTAAGTCACAGCTTTGGTATTTTTTATGAACCTGTCTGATATCTTGTGTTCCAGTAGTAAATTATGGACAGTATTAGTTCCAGTAGTAAATTATTATAGTTAAACCTACGGTAATTTACTGCCATTTTCTTAATTAATTTTTAATTAAGTCACAGCTTTGGTATGTTTTATGAACCTGTCTGATATCTTGTGTTCCAGTAGTATTATTAGTAAATTATAGTAATATGAAATATATATATATATATAAGTTTACAGTTTAATATGAAGAACACTAAAGAAAGATTGAGAGAGGTATATAATATTAATTAATTAAGTGAATTAGTACACAAAATATTTCAAAAATTGATTGGATTTTTTCCAGAGGGAACAAGCTATGATGTACTCCTAGAGATGCTCAAGGTCTCAATCCTAAATCCCAAAAATAAAGTTAAGTAAATAAATAGCATGCAGTGAGTTTATCTACATGTTTGCCAATACTTCACTTTCACATCCTTCCTTTCAAAATAATTCTGTGTATACTGTTGTGAATGAGAGAAAAAATTTAAATCCTTATTGATTTATATATGTTGGGTATTTATGAACTATTGCAGCTAAGGAGCGGTGAAATGCATTGAAATAAATGCTTCTCATCATGGTGTAAATGATCGGAAGTGCACTGATTACGCATTGGGCATATTCTATTTTGATATACACACATATGCAGTCCGATGTAATTAGAAAACTGACAGGGGTAAAGCATTAACAAAAGCCTTAATGAAAACAAATAAACATTAATAACTACTTGAAATTATGAAATATTGGTCAGAATTGCATAAATTACAGAACAGTACAATAAACAAAAGTACAAGTGAAATCACAGGTAAAAATATCTGCAACTACAGAAGAAAAAAAAAGGTACTTAAGTATTAGTGCAACCACCTAAATAGAAGTCTTCAAATTTTCAGAATGTATTCTGGGAACCATGCAAATTACAATTCTTTAGCTTTAACAAGCAGCTTAGCTGTTTTCATATGTGTTCTTTTTGCTGTATTCCAAATTCTAGTGATTTTTAGAGGCAAGATGTGATATTTTGTGCCTTAACTCAGTTTTAAAATAAGTGCTTGGGGGGGGGGTTGCCAACAATGGTAGAAATTGCAATCATATTTCTATATAATACAGTAGCTTAGTGCAAAATTGCTCATGTTAAAGCAACTACCAAAAAATTTACATAAAAAAAAGACTGCCCATAAACAGATTTATTGATTAATTTTCAGCATAAATACATAATTGAAGCATAAAGTGAGTACATAATATTATATGCATCAGGTGAAAAATGGAGAGTCAACAAATAATTTTTTGCAATCATAAATAAATTATTTCTTTTTCTTGTATAAAAATTTTAAGAACTCTTTCAGTGTGATTGCACTAATACAAAAATATCAAAAGAAGTATTCTTACAGAAGTGCTTCAGAATGGCAGTTCTCACTTTTTATGCAGATCTTGCATCACTGAGATAAGGATTTTCATGTGTTCTAAAAAATACCAGGCATATTGTGGCTCTCTGTGGCTGCTACTGAAAGCCTCACAACAAGGTGTTTATTGAACTCAATGGGAGTTTCATATATGAGGGATTTCAGATATCCCCCCATAAAATTGAGATTAGACAATGGGAGCCAAATGATGAGTCCTTGGCTGATCCACTCATCTGAAAACATACCATACTGGTATGCATGAACTACCATGCTGAAAATATTCTGCTGCATGCTGGGACCATATTTTCTATAACACATGGCTGTTGTTGCATACTGCAATACTTCTGGTTGATTATGAGGTAATTTGTCCCATCCAAGCATTCCTGTAGCAAATTTTGGCCAGTGAAGTTATTATTAAAGCTACCTGCTCATAGATTTACTATAAATTATCATTGGTAGGAATGTGGACGTAGTATGCACAGATTATAGCTGCCCCAAAAGTGCACATTGTGGGTACTGAAAAACACCTTCACTGATAAATGTAATTTATCTGTGAATAAAACATGCTCTAGAATTGAAGATGCAGTGCAACTTGCTAGACATCACTGTGATGCTTGTGTATTATCATTGTGAAAAATCTGCTCAAGAAAGTTCTGTAGTACTATAAATTTCCCATTTCACCATATATGGTGTCATAATGAAGTGAAAACATGCAAAAGCACAAAGATGTAAAGCAGCTGCATATAAACCAAATATTAACACAACCTGAAGCAGTGATGATATGTGCTGTGTAGTGAATATATCTTGTTACACTAACCAGTGAGCTAGTGTGGATATGGAGAATACAGAGATTGTTTACACACTTTTAGGTGATTTTTATTGTATTTACAGAAATATTTTACCTAAAATTTTTGTGCTTTAATCGGGAAAAATCCCAAATCTGGAATTGCCAAAGTTCTGAAGAGTTCAGATTTTGCACTTTGTACTGTATTAATCTTAAAACAAATGAAGGGATATTTTGGCATGAAAAAACAAGATCATGTAGAATTCTGCTTCGTTACTGAGTAATATGGTTAGTCTAATCTATCTTCCTAAATCTTTCGAAAAAAGGTTTCCTTTGTAGATAGTTTCCTTAAAACAAAATAAAGTTGCTTAGCACTTAATCTTTAACATAATGGGAATAATTATTTAATCCCTGTTCCAGTTGACAATTTCTATATTTTAACCTTATTTGGTGATTTTATCTTTCAGTTGGCGAATCTACTTCAGTTTTAAAAAAAATATTTTATTAACATTTTTATTACATTAACCAAACTGTTGATCAAAGTAAGCAATGCAATTTTTTCATATACAATTGAGTGGCATTTTGGCAGTTTGATAAAAATATCTGAAGGATAACATTAACTGTGATCACATTAAGCAGCATGTACTGTTGGCCTCTTGACATATTTTGCAGAAATGTTTTGACATTTCTGTTAGGACTTCCAAAGTATTCTTCTTTTTCATGGCACATGCCCATAATATCCAGTATTTATAGAAAATTCGTCTAGCATTCTGTTTTATATGTACAAAGAGATTTTTAACAATTTATCGGGTACTCCAATTCAGCTTTTAGTACGTTTGACCAGATGTTTTAATCAGATGCCTAGATCTCTCATAAAATTATTGCAGTCAGTGGCTGTATTATTATACATATTTACTTCCAATACCATGCAATAGATGTTATTTGTTCCAACAGTAGGAAAAAATGTAGCACAGTCAAAAAGGAAATGCTTAATTCATGAAACTAGTTTACATCATGGATGCTGTTCCTTTTCAGGTGTTATTTATCTATACAATGTCATGTAAATTTATTAGAAAGTTTCATTTCACAGCTGTTTTTATAAAGTATAGTGCAGGTAAAATTTACTTTTCTTGGAAGATTAAACAAAGTTTTCAGTTTATGGCAAACTGGAAATTGTTTACATGTTTGTAGGTGAAATAAAGGTTTAAAAAGATGGAGGGAATATCATTGCTGAAGAATTGAACATGAGAGGCTATTATGTGAAAGACAAGAGGTATATATGAAGAAAACAGGAAAAAATAAGAGTTTCTATTATTTTTATAAATGAAATATAAATTTAAAAAACAAAATGAAATAATGCTGTATTGTAGATTTGAACATGAGAAACTAACATTGAAAAGACATACATGAAGAAAGCATTAAAAAAAAAATTGAGTGTTCTTATGTTAGATGTCATTTAGGTTATTGTTAAAGTCAGTTTTGCACCAGAGAAACTAAGATTCCTAGAGATTCAGTCATTTCTATGAGAACAAAAAATAGAATAGTAGGATGACCATAATTTTTATCTCTATTGTTATGTGTACTTGTAGCACATTGAAGAATTTATGAGAATGATCAGAGAAGTTCAAACTGGAATGAAGGTGTTAAATTAGTTTATTCAAAAGATTCTTATGAAAAAAGTTCTTGTAAATGTCAGCTTCTCTAAATAATGCATATTAAATGTTGGTAGTTAAATTTTCTGTAATATATTTCAATTTTATGTTTAAGAAATAAATGAAAACTTAATTTAAAATAATTGTGTATATATTTTCTTCTGTAGGATGAAACACAGACACTGCATTTATTAACTCCTTTGATTTATGTGAAAAGTGCTTATAACACAATGGCTCATCATATGAGACAGTTTATCTCCACTAGTTGGACTGTGTATGTCCAGGAAGATTCTGGAAAGATGATTATTCTTCAGACCAGCCCAAATGTGATAGAAAGTTCTGAATACTGTAAGATTTTATTTCGTTCATGCATATTTTTATATTTTTATTTAGTAAATGAATGTGTACTTTTTCCCAAAATTTTTATAAGTTTGTTTCTTATATTTATTTAACAGGTAAAAAATTATATATTTTTACTAATATACAGAAGAAACAATGAATTTTGCTTTAAAAATTAGGCAGCATTCAACTTTTGTTTGCCATTGATTTTCATTAATGTTTCATTGCACTTCAAGAGAGAATTTGACACTGATGTTTCTTCACTAGGAGTAAATATTCTAGATCATCCTTTAGTTATATTGTTTTAGATGTAAACATTCATATAGTGATATCTGTTAGTGTCATTAAAGGGGAAGAATAAAAGAAAAAAAAAAAAAAAAAAAAGGAAAGTTGTACATCAAATTCTGTTTTTACATCAGTTTGATTTAATTTGAATTCAAAATTCATTTTTAAAAATTTGAATTTAAAATAAATTATTCATTCTGTTTTTATATGAATTTGATATAACTCGAACTCAGAATAAATTTTTCATTATCTTTTTACGCGTGACATTTTGCTTTAAGTTGAGCAGGCCAAGTAAAATATTATATGAATAAATGTGTTACAGTTGTACTATTTATTTAGCAATAGTGGAAGTATTAAAAAAAATGCTGAATTACAAATTAAATGGTGATTCAGCAGATTTGAAACAGATTTTGTGCCCATTGTTAATTATCTTGTTTTGTGTAATGTATTCAAGTAATAAATATAAGGAAAAGAAGTTTAAATTTTTATACTTCTGTTTTAGAAATTTACTACTATATTAATTAGGGTAAATTCTTTTTTAAAATTTTGTTTCTAATTTTAAGTGTAATATTTAGCTAATAATAAGCATATTTCTACTTTAGCACGTTCAAGAGATAACAGTAATAGCTTGAAAAACTATCCAAGTTGGCAGGAAGAAAAGCTTGATTGGATGGGTTGCATTTCTCATCAGTCTGGCATACCACGCTGGTTACTTGTGATTGTGCTTTTTGGATTCATTCTTGCATTATTGTGGTTATGCTGTGCTACTGCAGTTACTGCTCCAAATCATTATTTAACATCTGCTGCAAAGGTAATTGTGTTATTATTATTATTATTAAGATATTTACTTAAACTGCATATTAGCGTGCTTAAGAATTCTTTCATATCAAAGAAGCTAATTATACATTTCACCGTACTGTTTACCATTTCATTATGAGAAAGTGTGGTAAAAAAGGGGAGGGGGAACATTTGCAAGGATATATATGCACAATTTAGTTGTTTGTTCTCATTTAAAATTTGTAACATATCATCTGTTTCAAATGTCTCTTTTTATCTCACAGCAGTAGGAAGCTGCACTGCGGAGTTCCATATTTCTCCTGTTTCAGGATCAGAAATAATCTTTCCTTAATTTTTTACAAGTAATGCAGGAGAGTATGCAAAAGAGAAAAGAACTATAGTTCAACCATCTCAAATGCAACCTTGGCTGGCATTCTGCCAAGACACATAGACTCGTCCAAAAGGGGCATTATTACTTGCTATGATGTGAAAGGTCACGCGAAGACCTCTGGAAAGAGATGATTTAAATGCTCGAGGGAAAGAAAGTCCCCATCCTTCCACCCTGTTTTGAGAATAATTCGGTCCAAATGGCGCATGCATGTTTTCGCTTATGGTCGTGGATGAGGCGGTCAAACTATACCTTGAGAGCACTTTGTAAATGGTTCATCATCGGAGTTTGCTATCTCATATGTTTTGCTTTTAATCTTCTGTGTGGCAAATATTTTTGGATCTGTTGATGAAAAGCTGCCTTTAAAGCAGAGTTGGGTTTTTCCCCAGAAGAAATGTGTTTCTTCCAGAACAGTAAAAGATATAAATAGTAATGCATCCATGGGAATGCTAAGCTTTAATTGTAGTAGTTTAACTTTTTTAAAAATAAATTTTGTATTTTAATAAATAAAATGCAAAGTAATCAAATAATTAGCCCAAAAAATCCAATGAAATGTGTGATAGAATTCTTATACTTTTGTTGATTTGGCATTTCATCTTTTTTTTTTTTTCCCCCCCCCCCTCTCTCTCAGTAATGTTGGCCATAAGAAAATGATCACCAGGATTTAAGATTTTATAAATGAGAAAATTTGTTAAAATTTGTGTATTAAAATGTTTTTAAAAGTATTTCAGTGCTTAAAACATGCTTCAACAAAAGAGTAAAAAGAATGTATGCTTCTTTAAAGTTCTGTAAATCTCAGATTGATAAAAAAAAAATCAAACAAGAACTCTCATGTCATCCAGAAATTCAGATAACGAGAAGTTTGTCTAAAAAGAGGAAAGTTCTGTGCAACAGGAATTATTTTAGTGTGTGCTTCTGATATTGAAAAGGTGAAACTGGATAAACTAACGGATATGTTCCTTTATTCCTACAATGTAATATTTTCACTGCAAAAAATGAACATTTTAAGACGGTCATTTTCATTCTCACCTAGAATGTAAACAATTCCACAAGAAGCACTTACTGGTCACGTTCTACATCAAGTTCATAAAGAACTGAAGAGTGAAATGATAAAAAGGTTTGAAGGGTAAAACAGTTACCTTTATTATTGACAGATGAAGTTACATGCATAATGAATCATTTATTGTGGCAGCTCAGTGTTCAGAAGAAAATCTTATTTTGTAGATTCTGTACTGGTAGACTGGTAGTGACCACACAACTATTAAATACCTGACTGATTTTAGCAATATATAATTTTGTGTGTATGTGTAAAATAAAAAAAAAATATGTAATTCTGAATTATACCTTAAATTAGCAATAGCCCCAATATCCCTCTTTTTAATTTAAGCACTTCTCTCTCTCTGTTCTAAAAAATAGTAATAACTTTTTCAAAACTATGTCATAGCTGAAAACTATGTCCTCTTCTCCTCCTGCATATGACATTATGTCATCTTAATCTTCTGCATAGCATTTAGTTCTTAGCCAATCAGATTAATAAAAAAATTTACTATAAATACCACTGCAATCCCACTTCCCACTCTCTTTTGCTACTTAAGCTTACTAGCTAAAGAACATTTCTTGCTTGGGGCTTCTATTCATTGTTAAAAATGTAATACATCATAATCAAAATTGTGGGGTGCAGATTGTCCCCATTGTGATGTGCCATGCCATAAAATAATCGGCAAATAATAAAGATATATTTGGATTATCAAGTGATTTTGTAATTCTTCAGAAGTTCCTGGCATCGAATATAATGTAATCGATATTTCAGTGATCTTCCAACTTAAATCCATTTGTGACTGCAGAATAATTGGTGTCTTTCTTAGTCAAGCACTCATCTAATATCAAATTATCTGCAATGAACTACATTATCATCACACACACATATACTATGTCTAAAACTGGAGCACATTTAATAAAATAAATACTATTAACATCATTCCAAATGTTGCAAAATTAATTATTTAAATAAGAAATAAAATATTTTGGAATAGCCAAGGTTGCTGAACTATCAAACAGGAAGGCACAAATTAGAACTAGTTCGATGCGAAAACTTGGAAAATAAACTTGAATTTAAAGTAAAATTATTCAAAAACAGAACTACAATAAAAATTAAATAAAAGTTGATAATTATTTAGTCTTTTTTCAAGGAGAAATTAAAGGAATTCTCAACAGGATCCTATTTTTGTAATATATGTGGATAATTTCAAAATAAAAGTTATCAAATGAAATTTTGTTTTAAACAAAAGTAATAAATGAGAATAAACTTGTACAAAATTTATAGAAATTAAAAAAAATAATAATTAAAAAAAAATTTTTCATCAAAACATGATCTGCTCCAACACAATAGAAAAAATATGCTTTTAGTGTAAAAAAGAAAATTATAGTTAATAATGTTTTAATAAAAAGGAAATAATTTTAAAAAAGACAGTAATTAAAACAAGATTAAGAAAATTAAAAAAATAATATTAATAATAGCCACTCAGAACACCTGTGGGGTAGAATTCTTCAAATTGCCAAGGAAAAGATAATAAGGAAAAAAAATTACATAAAATACAAAATGGCAAAGCATTGCAAATATGTAAAAATTGTATTAAATAGAAGCATAACAAAAATTTTATTAAAAAGTTGCCAAAAGAGAACAGTAATGAAAATCAAAAGAAAGAACAAAACCTAAGTGGCAGTTCCATATGTCCAAAAATTTTGATTGATTTCAAATTTAAGAATTAAAAATAGACGGAAAATCTATTAAAAGTAATTAATATTAATTACTTTTATTATTAATTATTAAAAGTCTAAAAGTACCAGCAAGAAAGTTAAATGCACCAGCAAAAAAGTTAAGCGGTAAAACCGAAGTAAAGATATCATTAATTTAAATTTCTAATGATATTGTGTAGATATATTGCATTTATTATGAACACACAATCGGGATTCGTACAATCGTCAAGTCGTTCAATTTGGCCAAAACTTGCAAATGATCCTAATTTTGGTCATCTGTCATCTCTATGACTGTATGGCTTTTTCTATGACTCTAAATATAAATCAGTATATTAGATGAACATGGAATTCGAACTACATGTTCATGACAGAGCCATTGCATGTTGGCAGTGCAAACAACTAAGAAAATCAGCCATCCTAAAGTGGAATTTTCGGAGAGCTTACTCTGTTGTTCAACCAAACTTTCCAAACAGGTGTTTACCCATTTTGAAATTCACGGTTTGCCCATTTGATTGCATAGACAAGTTTATTATCAACAAACTTGTTTTGAAGGTTGTTGTATTGGGGGGGGGAGAATACTATCGGTTGTTATTCGGAAAAAAAAAAAAAAATTGGACTGCAATGAAAATGTGACCTTCAATGTGAGACTGCAATTTTCATCAAAGCCATACTTCTACTCACTATTATAAGTGAATCCGGGAGATTCTTCAACAGTATGGGCAAAAGACATGAATAGGGCTTTTGTAAAATGAGCTAGGTTTCAGAAAATTTTGAAAATATTTGGGTACTTACGTATTATCGCAACCAGGTTGGCACGATTTGTAAGTTTGAGTGCAAAAGTATGAATAGAAAGAAAATGTACATTTATTAATTACAGATAATTTTTAATACAGATTCTTATGTTATTTTGTTTACCCTACTTATGGCAACCTTATGTTAATTTATTAAAGCGAGGTGTGCGTAGTTCGTAGATTCATTCGTTGCCTACATTGTGCCATTTGTAGATGTTTTTTTAAGTTAAAACATGTCGCTGTGTACATGGATTCTTGTCAAATATTTTTGGTTAGAAACTTTAGGTTTTTGCTATCTAAATTTTTTGTTTCGGATTTTTAGCTTAAATCGTGTGTTCAAAACGTAGTTTTTGCATGTGCGAAAACCGCGTTTTTGGAGACATTTTAGGCTTAAAGTTCGAAATATAGACAAGAATCCATGTACACAGCGAAATGTTTTAACTTAAAAAACATCTACGAATGGCACAATGTAGGTAATGAACGAATCTACGAACTACGCACACCTCGCTTTAATAAATTAACATAAGGTTGCCGTAAGTAGGGTCGCCAAATTTGGCGATTTATGCGAATTTTGGCCTGGTTGCGTTAATACGTAAGTACCAATATTTGTTGATATTGGAACAGTTGAAATATGGGGTAGGTCACATATTTGCACTGTCAATTTTAATTATCCTTGCTTCAAAGCCACATTGATCACTGTGGATAGGATACTAATAGGAATAATGCATATCTGTCAATAATGATGATTTTTCATTATTTTAACAAATAATCAGATTTCATGATATATATGAAACTAATTTTCTATGGATTTTCAGTTTTATTAAGGAATCAAAAATGTGCAAATTTGTTAGTTCATCACCTCATATGTATTTAATTTGTGTATTCCTAACAGAAATTAGGGTTATAAATTAAATTTGTTCTACTTTATTATATGAAAATAAAGCTTTCTATTCCTGGAACGTATTATTTTTTTGTGTATTACTAAATGTGATGACTGATCAACATTTCAGTGATTTTAAGATTAGTTTGTCTATATAACTTTTGTTTTTGAAAATGTTATGATTTTTTTATAAATATAATAACATTATTAAGATATTACTGTAATACTAGTGCACTAAAATTGCATTTTTAAGATAAAGGACATTAAATTGAAACAATTTTATATTCTATCTTATTTTAAAGTATTTTTGCCTTATTGTAAAGATATACTAATTTTAAATAGTTCGTGACTTTTATGTGGCGTAAGTGTGAAGAAAGTGATGTTTAAAATGCCAAGTTAAAAAGACTAAGAAAGTTGTATTAGCAGGAGTGAATCCAGGAGTAGATTGATAAACTGCAAGCTAAGCGGGAGCATAAAAAGTCATAATAAATGCTCTAGTGTGATGTTAAATTCTTAAACCTTTCAGATTTTCTTCTTCCTGGATTTAAAAAAAAAAAAAAAAATGTTTTACAAAGTTGGCAGGTATGACAATAGGTCGGTTATTAAGACAATTTTTTGGGGGGGGCTGCATATCTTGGAAGGTTCCAGGAAAAAATGAAAGTGAGAGCCACAGTTATTAGCTAAAAGTCCAGAAAAAGCCAGTGACAAAACGAAAAATATGTTCAATGTGTTACAGAATAGACATGTTTTGCAGGAAGATTATGGTGGTTTTCTGTTATTGTTTAGACAATTTTGGGGGAACGAACTGAAATTAAAATTATTTGAATTTTCTACATTTAATCCCAAAATTCTCTTGACACATTTCTCTTCTTTAATTGACATGCTTTTTTCATTGTGCAGAAGTAAGGAAAATTACAAAAGTGATTTCAATCTTGTCATATGGACAAGCATTAGTGGAAAGGAACTTCATTAATAAAGATATTAAAAAGCTAGAATTTAAAAGATTTGCAATATGTTTATGTAATTAAATGAAAATTGTATATTTCACACCATATATTAATTTATAAAATTTTCTGGAGTTATTCTATGTTATAGAGACATTAGAATTAAGAAAACATAAAAATGCTGTAGAGCAGATATTTTGTTGCTTTTACTGTGTAATTGCTTGAGTATATTTTTAAAACTTGTACAATAAAATGTGTATGTAATTTTGTGCTAATTTTAAAATAAAAAATTTCCTTAGATTTTGTAAAAAATTTTTTTTAACAAGTAAAATTTTTAATAGTGGTATGTAAATCTTCTTTAAATTATGTGTAACTACTGTAAGAGTAAAATATAAATGTTTCAGGAACTTATATTCCTGATTTAATGTTAGTTACTTAATAACATTTAGAGAGTTGATTCTCAGATTTGTTTGATAATTATGCTAAATGTTAGATTATGTTTAATAATAATGCACCAACATTTGTTTTTTAAGAGTGAAGTTGGTTGCATGGATAATTGCTTTAATTTTTTAATCCATATTTGGTGATGGGTCTTTATTTATTATTATTTTTATTTATTATCTTTATGCAGAAATGTGTATGAATCCTGATAATTTATAAATTATATGTTTGCTAATATCTTATTGACCAGGTAATCATTTGAATGCTTTATAGCCAACTGCTGCTTCCTGAAACTAACATTTAATGAGTCCTCATGTATAGAAATTATGAGGTAAATCATAAAGTATAGATATAATTTGATACTTTATTTCAGAAAAAGAATGTTGGCTATGTCTTGCTGTGTGAACCAAATCATGATTTAAAACCATCCCCACCACTTGTCAACTGTGATGAGGAAGCACCTCCACTTCCACCTAAAGTAACTCTTATTTAAATTATGTAAAAGTTTTTCCACCTAAAGTAACTCTTATTTAAATTATGTAAAAGTTTATGTTTAATGAAAAAAAAGAAGAAATGCATTTACTACTTTTCTTATTTCTGATATATTTTGTAAAATCTGTCATTGAATATATATGATACAATTGGGCTTTCAATATTTTATGCTTATGTTAATATTGGGTTATTAAATTATTAGAGATTACGAAAAGTGTTGAGTTATTTTTTTAAATATTTTACAAATAATACATTGACATTCCAACACTGTTTGGTGCTTTAAATTCTGTAATGTTTGTGGCTATTTTGTTTCTCATGAGTCTTTTTTAGTCTAAAATAATGCTGATATTTTTAATCTGTAAAAAGTTATAAATTCTTTATAAAACTCTCTTTAACACTTTTGCTACTGGTTATGTGAAGTTGTATTGGTAGTTCGTTCTGTGTCATAGAAATAGATTGTACCCATATGCCAACTACTTATAATAAGAAATATGAATTAAAAAAGGTAATAAAAGAATAGTAATTAATGTATATCACATTAATTACTAAGCCTTTAAGCATAGAATTTTATAAGTATCCTCCAGCAGCACTAGAGGTAAAATTACTTCTGCAGTGTCGCATTATGCAGTGGCAAATGCCATTTACAAATGAATTAAAATAAGTAACAATATGCATTATTTTGGTGTGAAACTTTATCATAAACATATATATATATATTACAAGTGAATTTATTACAAGATAGTTACAATGGTATTATTGCAAACTATATACTTCGGAATGTTATTCGTGTATAATCTTTGCATGAAATGAAATTTTGTTTCCATTTCAAACTACATAATACATTTACAACTAGTTTCTAACCTTCTCTCCTCGCAAGTACCAGCATATATATTCAAAATGTAATGCGATTGAATTTGAAAAATCAACAATGAGACGTTGCTTTTCATGCACCAGCTTGTGACTGGCGCCTGAGACATCACCTCACACCACGTGCAAGTACATGATTGGTTCTTCTGCAGTAACACCAGTCATACGCGAGTGCGTGATCGACAGTGAACGTGTTAAAATGATACACTCTAATATAACCCATTTATGCAAATGAAAGTGGCTGAAGCTTTTCTGAATTATTCTATAAGGTATTTCTCCTGCAGTTTTAGCATGCCTTTGTAGTGTAGTGGTCAGCACGCTTGACACAAATTCGAGAGGTCCCTGTTTTGAGTCCTGGTGAGGGCATTGCTCATTTTTCATGTCTCCTGCTTTAAAAAAATACCTAATGTCTCTACAGTGGCGCCCGAACGAAAAGGTGGTGAATTATGATTCTTCACCATCAGGATTTGGCGATTGGGTCCCTGAAAACCCAAGTCGTCCTTATAAAAGGGGAAGTATATAAGGTATTTCTCTTGCTCTTAGCGTGCCTTTGTGGTGTAGCGGTCAGTACACTTGACACATTTTCGAGAGGCCCGTGGTTTGAGTCACGGCGAAAGCATTGCTCATTTTTCATTTCTCCTGCTTCGAAATAACCTAATGTCTCTATAGTGGTGTCCGAACTAAAAGGTGGTGGATGATGATTTTCCACCACCGGGATTTGGGGATTGGGTCCTCTAATCCCCAGTCGCCTTTTAAAAGATGGAGTATATAAGGTATTTCTCCTGCATTCTTAGCATGCCTTCATGATGTAGTGGTCAGCACGCTCAACGAGTATTGGAGAGGTGTGTGGTCTAAGAGTCCCGGCAAGGGCATTGCTTATTTTTCATCTTTCCTGTTTCGAAATAACCTAATGACTCTACAATTCTTTAGATTTACTTTGACATCTGAAACAACTTTAACCTGGTCTTTGTATTATTTGTATTTGAACAGGATCTCCGGACCTGGAAATCTAATGCTGTATCATTACCTCTACTACCATGAGAGCCTCTTGATCAGAGATAGGATATAAATTCTGGTCACTTTATAAAGTAATCAGTCACAACAAAGATGTATTTTTTGCCATTATCAGTTCATGGCAAAAGTCCCTGGATGTGTCCAAAAGCTCCATTTCTTTGGTCCTTTCCAGCCCACACAGCCATCATAAGAAATATTCCACTTTTTCACAGTAGTTCTTTCATTACACTAATAAAAGTGGTCTCGAACTCTGTGCAAAGTCTTCATTATTCTGAAGTGGCTTTCTGTTGGATTTTAAGTAGTTCTTTAAGAACATCGGGATCGTAGAAGTAGAGTTGCCATCAGAGTGTCTTTCCATCATCCGATTCAAACTTTGGTACAAGACACCTTTTAAAATATAGAGTGAGTCCCAGCAAGCAATAGTGTTTTGTCAGAGACTATAGATCAAATTATTCAAGTAGGTTTCTTATTTGAAAACTCCATTTGGTTAGTTACGGGTTTAATGTTGTTGTCTCCCAACTGGTCTTTCTGATTTTGTCACTATGTGGATATGTGTCAGGCAATGTTAAATTTGTAACTTGACATATGACTGGACTAACCAGCTTGTATTTCACTTTAACCCTGGAATGATATCTCCAACTTTCCAGACATGGGCTTCTAAACAGGCTGCCTATGTTTCCACGTGATGATCCTTTTGATGGCAAATAGTGTTGTCACATTCCTGGAGCTTCTGTATCCATCTGGCTATTTGGCCTTTGGGTTTCTTGAAATTGAAGAGCCTGATGCATGATCTGTGCAAAGTAGGAATTTTCTGCCATAAAGGTAATAGTGGAAATGTTCTATGCCTAACTATGGCTAGCAACTCTTTTCTGGTGACAATAATTCCAGTTTGGTTGAGACTTGCTCCAGTGTGCTACAACATATTCTCGACTATTTATTTCTTGGGACAAAGCATCACCAACACCCTCATTGCTCGCATCCATGTCAAGAATAAATGGTTTCTTAAGCTGACGATATGTCAAGATTGTAGCATATGTTAAAGCCTCCTTCAGTTTGTTAAATGCATTCTCACATTCTTTTGTCCGTAAGAATTTTTGCTTGCTCACTGTCAGTTTGTGACAGGATCTTGTGATGGAAGAAAATTCTCTCACAAATCTTCTATAGTAGCTGCAAAGCCCCACAATACTTTGCAGCTGATGGATATTATTGGGGCTTCTGCTATACGTAACTGGTGACACTTTTTATGGATTCGTACGCACACCTTCAGCAGAGATTATATATCTGAGGTAAGTCAAGTCACTTCTTATCTGAACAATGGGCCACCAGCAATAATCACTGAACACTGGTAGTTCCAACCTAGATTTGATTTCAGGCAAATGGGCTGGCTGCATGGACATTTTCGTGGTTTTCACCATGTGTAACATGGTATGAGCCAGGTTCCCTTAGAAAGTCCTCACATTATGGCAAAGCTAGTATGCTTTGCCATAATGAGCTAAACCTGAACTTGTCTGAACAATTTACATTTGGCAGAACTTAATTTTAGATTGGCTTGCTTTAATTTCTGAAGCACCTTACTAATATTTTCTAAATGCTATTTAAAACTTTTCCTGATAATTATGATGTCAGACAGGCCATGCCTCCATGAAGTGTTCAAATGTTGTTGGTACATTGCATAACTCAGACCGCATCAACCTGACCCATCACCTTTAATTTTTGAGTCTTCCCTTTACTACAGTGCTTACTTGCAAACATATGGAAGCACCATATATGAACTTTATACATGAAAGTAATCACCTGGACAAACATTTCACTATTTTGCATGCAATATACTGAAATACATATTTTTATTGTGAAATATACATTTACATACATGCAAAGAATATATATTTTTAAAAAATAGCTGATTAAATATTAAATGAATCTGTGGACTCTTCTGATTAAATGACATTTTTCTCCACCATTTTAGTTCAAAAGGATTTAATTTTACAATACCTATTAAGAATTAACATTGCTTATTAAATTAGTTTCATGTGAGTAAAATGCATGTTTTATATGCAGATATACAACTTTTTGGACCAAGTTTGTCTCCATGTGAGTATTATAAAAATTGTCAGGGTTTGAGTTTAGGTTTGCTTTTAATTTAAAAGGAATCTGAAATTACTCCAGTGTGAACAGTTGTATGTTTAGCTTATATTAAAACATATATTCTTACAGTACTCATATTTTTCAGAAAGCGATTCTATATTACAAGGGTCACTCCCAAAATTTTTTAGATACACATAGGTTTTTAAAGTTATACATAAGAAATTTTTTGAGTGTTCAAAGTAGTTTCCTCCAGCATCAGTGCACTTCTGTAGACAAATTTTTGAAAGATTAAATGCCTCAAGCCATTCATTTGTTGAATCGGTAAAAAAAAAAAAAAAAAAAAAAAAAAAAAAAAAAAAAAAAAAAATGCATTTTCATCAATCTCATCTTCAGAATGAAAATGACATCCACATAGTTCTTTTTTAAATTAACAAATAGCCAAAAGTCATACATTATAGGTCGGGTGGGTGGATGTTCTATCACTTTGATGTGCTTTGGTTCAAGAAACTCAACTGTCAATCTTGCTGAATGAGAAGATGCATTGTCATGGTGGAGCATGAGTATTCCAACAATCACTTCTTGGAGAATTTCTAGAACACACTTAGTGGTGTACCAGTTAGCTGTGACTGTCTTCTATCCTTCCAGCTTGATATACGTCTAAAGTCTAAACCAGTCCTATACGTCTAAAGAAAAAGGCATACATTATTTTTTCCATGGCATGTTGTCTTTTCACCACTATGAGCATGAGATCATCTTCAAAGACCCATACTTTACTTTCTTGGCATATTGGAACATCGAAAAATGGTATTACCAGTTACGATTTTAAAAATAATGTTTCATTACCAGTTATGATTTTAAAAATAATGTGATGGCCACTATCTTAAAGTAATTTAATGGTTTCTTTGTTGATTCTGACATGCTCCTCTTTTGGTGCTCAGTTAAATTATGGGGAACCCAATGGCAAACTAGTTTTTTCATATGCAATTCTACATAAATCATTTTATGTATGGCAGTGGATCCAATGTTTCCTTTTGTATTATTTGGTGGGTGCAACAGTTATCATCGATTAACATTTTCTGTATGGCAGACACATTATCCGGGGTTACTGCTGACAATGGCCTTCCTGTGTGTTCTTCATCCTGAAGAGAGTTATAACCACTGAAATTCTGTAAACTGTCTGAACACGGTAGCATGAGATGGTTCTTTATTTCCAAATGCTAACTATAGATGTTGAATGCACTCTTTTTG